CACCCCAAAATAAAAATAAAAAATAAAAAATTCAGATGTCCTTAAAAAAATTTGGATTTTCTACAATAATAAAAAAAAAATTAGATCTTTTAAAAAATAATGAATAAATTTTTCAGTTTCCAAAAATTAAAATAAGTGAAAATAACTTAATTAAATAAGCTTTTGGCCAAGTTTAAAACAAAACACTTTAAAACACGTTTTTGGCTTTAGTGGTAATAAAAATCTCAACCTAAGCTTCCAGATACCACTTTTTAACACCCTTTTTCTTTTAAAATATCTCTTTTGCCCTTTTTGAAATACAAAATAGGAATAAGACATTACCGCCACCGTGAAAACGGCTAAGGCAAATATCAAAGCCACACAGAGGAAGACTTTCTTTAAAACTATTCAAAACAAGTCAACTTAATAGTCAAACCAAATGAAAGTAAAGTCAAACAAAGTCAACCTACAGCTTGGAACCATTGTAGGCCCTTAAAACCACACAATACTAAAAACCTTTACGTTAGTCTCATGAGCAGGACAAAATAAATAATATCCAAAGCAAATAAAGCACATCATATTCCTACAGAAACTAAGCATGATTCGCTCTTCACTCATGCCCATGCATCATGAAATTGTTTCATCACCTGATAAACTTCTCTCTACTTGTCCCCACTACTCGGCATTAGAAATGGGTTGTCGTAGGGCCAAGGTAAAGACAAGACCAAACAAACATACAACACACAATTAGAAATGTTGAGTACATAAGCGTAATAACACACTATCGTGCTTTCATCCTATCATCACACAACTTACCTTGTTGCACCTGTAAACAAGCATACAAGACATTCAACACTTAACTAGACAAATAACAATGTCCATTTGATTTCATTACGCATCGAACGGATTTCCCCCTAACCTTTCCCAATAAGGGGGTACTAGCACGGGAGCTAACCGTGTCAGTATAAAAGAACCACTCGTAAGTGGCGGAATTCCTGCGCATAATAAAAAGGAATATACATCGTCCTGTACTCCGAGTAAAAGTTATGGTCAAATATAAAGTCGCATAACTCCCCCCCCCCCATATGTTCATACTTAAGGTATATACGTTCTAAGAGTTTTGATGCATAATCTCTTTCACTTTACGTTGCTTTACATATAATTATACTTGGTGATGACTCTCAAACCATAACACAATCAAACATTATAATTCATTTCAAGCAATCAAGCATACCAATTTAATTCTTGAATAATTAGTGACCACATAAATTTAATGTTGAATCCTTTTAAAACTATCTCGGTGTTAAATAACACCTTTAAGCGCATAAAGCACCACAAATCCTATCCCTCGGTGTTTAGAATATCTTAAGTGCACTTAGGCACCATAATATAATTTAATCCTTTTGTACATAGAAACTTAAATAGCTCCTTCCTTACGCTTATAGCATCAATAAAAATTATATGAACCATAATAAAATTCCTTTCAATATTCCAAACTCAATTAAACATTTAGTTTAATTAAACATGCTCTCTATCATGCCAACAATAAAAGTGTGGTTCATAATCAACATGCCAACATAATTAATTCCAATCACCAATTCATCATAAATAATTCATACATTGATGTGGATTTAAACCCCTTAACTTAATAAAGAATCTAAAATCACACAAGTAACACAAGCCCTTCGAATTTCCTAAGAAAATCGAACAACTTAAGAATAACGAATCGGATATGACTTTGAAAACGACCACTCCTGGAACGAATTCAACGCCTCTCAAATTACCTAGACCACTCCTGGAACTAAGTACTTTGATGAAAAAATCTTAGACTACTCCTAGAAATAAGAATTGAACGTTCTAATTATCAAAACAGCTCCTTGAATTGAAAACTAGCAAAAGAATTTGTAAACAATTAAGCAAAACAAACAATTAATTTTATTTGATTTTCTGGTTGTGTGGAACAAAGCCACGAAAAATCCCTTATTTATAGACTAAAACTAACTATTCCTAAGTCTATTCTAACTAAGAAAAAACCCTAGCCTTGATCCCCAAGTATCCTAGATAGAATAGGAGAACCAATTCCACCTAAACTAGGAAACTAGTAATAAGACTAATTCTACTTAACCTAAAACCCCTTAATACAATTCCTAATTAACTTAGAAATTCTTTTAAACTAAAATAACATAAACTAAAACTTATCCTAAGTGCTTAAACCAAGAAAAACCCTTTCAAATGAAAGGTAAAAACTTGCAAGCAAAAACTCTAGAAAAAATAAATAAATAAATAAAATAAATAAATAAATAAATAAAAAATAAGGATGGAAAATCATCCTTTTCGTATTGCCGCCGCCAGACCACTTCACGCGCCGCCTTAAGGAACACGCGCTTAACCGGCGTGTAGCTGGGCTCAAGGTGATTCCGGAAAGGTGGCGTGCGTGGCCATCGTGCTCCTCGCCGGAAGTGAACTGCTCCATTTCTTCTTCTTTGCAAATCATGCTTCCTTCTTTCCCTAGTGAACTATTGGACCTTTCTTTGTTTATTTCTTTGTTTGGGCAGCCCATAATGAAGCTAATTGGACCTTTTAAAAGTGTCTAGGACCCTTCAAAAGAACTAGCCTCTTGATTCACATCATACATTACAAATCATTCACCAACATCAATCATACAACAAATTCCAACCAACACCTATCATGATACTACTTGGAATTAATTAAACAAAGCCTAGCATGCTTCTACATATTCAAATAATTACCAAGTACATGAACGTACCTTGAATATGATCTCAAAATCGCCACGACTAAACAAAATCACTTACTTGGAAACATTCTACAAACCAAAATTACAAAGAGGCATTAATACCTATTCCACACAAATTACAGCAATATATACGCTCTTTAAATCACTCATAAACCCTCTAAAACAAGCTAAAATTGAAGTTAAAACCCTTGCTTTTATTCCCAATTAATGGGTAATAAAAATCCTTTCAAGAAACATAATTATAGCTTATATATAAAACTTTCAGTTTTATTAAATCATCTAAAAATTGTTGTAATTGTGTTTTAAAAACACTTATTTCAATAATTTAAATCACCCATAAACAATTTCCATCAATATACATAAACTTAGAAACCTAGGGTTTATAATTTGGGGTTTTTTAATTCAATACCAAATCTGAAAATTTATATACATCAAACTTAAAATCAAACATCATAAAAATCATCACAAAACTCAAAAATAATAATTAGATTAAGGATGAATTTAATTAAAAATCAAAAGAAGAAATATTTTTTTTTTACAAAACACACGCACGCACAAGGGGGGAGGGTGGCTAGCGCCACCTCCCACGGTTGTTGCTGCTGCTGCCGACCCTGTGCTGGCGGCGGCGGCCGACTTTGGTGGTGGTGGCAGCCGGCCATTGTGGTGTGTGTGGTGGTGGTGGTGAAAAAAATTAAAGGGGAAGGGGAAAAATTAAGGGGAAAGAAAATAAGAGGAGACAGAGAGAGTTTACCTTTGGGTATTCTCCACCTTGGGCAAAGTTTGATTTTTCTCATTTGATGGGTATTTATACCCTCTCTCAATAACCCTCCTACTTAAAATTTCTTTACTACCCTTAATGATCTCTTTCCTATTCAAACTAGTATCTTGACTTTCCTTAAATACCATTGACCTTAAAAATTACCTTTTTATAAAATAATATGCCCCAATATTTCCAAATCATGAAATAAAATATTTTCAAGAATGTTAAATAATTAAAAATAAACTTTTAATTAAAATAATTCTTTTTAAATTAATGAAATACCATAAATAATTCATTTCGAATTTCTTAAATACTTTAAAAAATAATTATTTAAGTTAAAATACGTATAAAAATATGGGTTATTACAGGTTCAGTCAAGAGCAAGCTATAATGTTAATTATACATTAATATTACTGATTGAAAGCGGCCTCTAGCTAGGCATTCCGATCACTTGACCTCACTGAATAATTAGCTTTCCTAATTAGTTTCGAACCCTCTACCGGAATAACACACTTGTTCGAAGGACACCATTCCTTTCACATTTACCCTTGTTTGTTTAGCTTGAAACTAATCACTAACTCTATGTTCTAATTTACTTGGTCAATCAGGTCAAAGTCAAGAAAAAGTTCAATAAAAGTCAAAATTTTGATTTTTGGGTGTAACAATCGTCATCGTAATAGATTATATGTTTTACGTGTTTGATGGAGTTTTTTTTATTGTTGATTATTTTATATTTTTGACATTTCATTTACTTAGGGTTGTAAAGATATCTTTACTGTAATAGATCATATGTTCTATGTGTTTGATGAAATGATTTTTCGATTTTTGGACTTGAAATTTTGATTGTTGATTATTTTATATTTTTGAAATTTCATTTTTCTTAGTTAAGGTTTGAAGATATCGTCACTATAATAGAGGATATGTTTTAGGAGTTTGCTGAAATCATTTGTCCACTTATGATTTTTGAATTCTTTGTGAATATATGCTCCCTGTAATAGAGGTTATACTTTAGCGTTTAGATGACTTGATATTCCCTATAATAGAGGATATATTTCTAACATCTCAACTATCTGCACTTTCTGAAGCCAGAAAAGTTACTACAAAACGAAAATCAAATTCAGAATCTTGGCATGTTTTTAACAGAAAAACAAAAGTATGATGTTCAAGAAATGGGACTTAATTAGGTGGATTATTGAAGATGTATCTGTCTAAAGATCTAAATAGATCGTGTACCTTGCTCTCAATTACCATCCTACTGCAATGATTTCGGTAGTTGGAGATCAAAAAGATCTCATTCAACAGTGTTAATCTGCATAATGTGGTTGAGATTATTTCTCACACTTCAATTCCTATCATTTGAGCTGTCTAGAATGAAGTCTTCTAATTCTAATCCAAATAAGCATATATAATGAAGGAATGGAGAGATTATAATGGGTTAGATCCTACTGAGGAAACCAAACATATTAAGCACTGGAAAAAGTTCAGTTTTGCATTTGGATCAACTGATTTGAAATTTTACTATGCGGCAATGCTGATAGCTACTTTTTCGCATTAGCCACTTTAGTATTGTCATAAAAACTATCACATGTAATGGGAGAATAGTGTATTTTTTGGTTAATAAAATTCGATACACTTCTTTACCGATTAACAGCAGAAAAATACCAAAGATCAAATCAGCTAACATAAGAGGCTAACAATTGCTCTCCAAAACAAGGCTGCTGTAGAGTTACAGATGTACAACAGCTTCAACAAAGGGAAAGGAATTAGCTCATGACATACAATCCTTTGGGCCCTAAACTACACATACATGGCAGGTCAATGTGGTGCTTGGATGAGCTGATCGTTCAGCTGTTGTGCAGCATCATCAGCCTGTGGAACAACAGCATGTCTACGTTGCCACTCACGAAGGTAAAGAACCGCCAGCAGGCAAGCAAAAAGAGTAAGTATTGTTGCATTTCCTTCCTCCATGATGATGTTTTCAACCCATGCTTCAAGTTTTGGATAGGCTTCTGGCAGAGAATCAATTGTGTGCACCTGTAATAAACTACTACATTAGCATTGCTGCCAACTATTATAATAACAAGGGCTTACATGGTATGATTAAGTAATGAGTAGTCAAGGATTAGGTTTTAATGGGAAAACAATTACCAGGGAGCTAAATCAGGGGGACAATTGTTCATGGCTATTGTTTATATGTTTTATGAGGTTGTAATAATACACTCGTTATTCAATCTGTTACAAAATTTTGAAGGAACTTTGATGGGAGAACAATACCTGCTTGACATTTGTCACGTCATATGCAGATCAAATTCAAATGTATCATTTGCATCTTGATAAATTAAATTTCAATGTATCATTCAATTAATGACTTGTGGATAGTATTTCAGTGAAAGCAAACAACTGATTAAACTCACCAGAAAACTGTTGGCGTAATTTTTCCGAACCCATAGGCTTGTAAGTGCAAGGGTGACAGGTAATTTTGCTGCAGAATCAATCTCCAGAGCTTGATCATAGTAGCGTTTTGCAAGATGAAGATCATAAGGAAGTCCTTGACCATGCTCATGCATGTACCCAAGATTAAATATTGCCTGTGGATTAGACTGAGATTTTGCATGCATATATGCCTCAGCAGCACGTTCATAATCTCTGTCCGTACCCTAAAAAGAAATTAAGATAACAATGATCAGCAATGAAAATTTTCAAACATAGACAACCTCCCAAAATTTAAAACTAAAAATTCACTCTTCCAATGCACAGAAAAATAGATTTGCTTAGAGATACATACCCTACCATAATAGTATGCATCTCCTATCAACAACGCTGCATGTTCATTACCCTGCTCAGAAGCCTGCCACCATAAAGAGTGTGCACGTTGATGCCTTTCAGCATCTATGCATAGCCCAGAAGCTCCAATACACATGCTACGTTCCCCAAATTTATCAAGAATCCATGCAGCATTACTTTGTGCTACCTCATAACCCAGTTCTGCCATCCTGGAGTACAAGAGTAATGCTTTACCTACATCACCTTTCAAGTATGCCTCTAATGCCCACCTAGATAAGGAATTCCATGGTCCCCGTTCAGCAACTACCTTGAACAATGCAGTGGCCTGAAAATCAAATTAACCCAACATTAAACCAAATTAAGTTAAAATTATTTTAAGTGCAACCTGCACCTAAAATTATGCAGAAAAGAATATCGTAGAAACCAAAATGTACACAATACAGTTTTAGTAGGCAAAATTAGGCATAGAAGTCAATATTCTTTACTATCCTAAGAAATACATATGGAGATAATCCTAATTGAAGTACAATTTCATCAGAATTCTGTCGGAGACATTGATACTAATTGGACCTCTGTAAATTTGAAACTCCCTATGTCCTATATAGATATGCCCGTTTTTTTTGGGTGTCCCAAAAAATTGTGCTCATTTGTGAATTATTTCATTTTTGGGGTGTGGTTAGGACAATTATACCCTTAAAGCAAGACCTATTATGCAACTCGAAAGGTAACTCCTGACTCGAGGGGGTTAACACTATAATAAAGAGAATGTTGTGTTTTTTCGATTTTGCACCATTTCACATTTTCACATTCATTCAAACCATGTAACGTGTTAATATTGCAATTGCATAAAATTTAATACTATACTAACCAGATCTTGCCACCTTCACCTCATGAAAATATTCATCTACTTCATGAGCTTATGAATCACACTCACACTAACCGAATTAATGGTGATCAAGTATTTCGATGGACGGATCAATTACAAGATTCACTTACCTGTAACCCTACTCTCACAACTCTCACTAGCTCACTTAACATTGGCAGCGGCACCTTTAACTTGGACTAAGACAAGGGGCCCTCACAGCCCACAGCAAGTGGTTGCAGTAAAGAGACTGAGGGGGAGGGCGAGAGAAAGAGGAAAAAAAAAAAGGTGAGGTACCAGTAAACGAATCAAGGTGACTAAAGTTGAGCAGTGATGAGGTTGGAGACAGCAGGAAGGAGTGGTTGGAATGGGGAGAACAGAGTGTGAGTAGAAGCAGGAGAGGAGGAGAGAATAGGGAGGCGGTTAATTAAAAAAAAAAAAAAGAAAAAAAAAAAGGAAATATGGGAAGAACTGAAGGATTGGATGAAAGTGACTAATAAGCCAAACCCTTGAATTTTGAAATAGGGTTCTAGAGCCAATGATTCCATCTCCCTTTATGACACACTTTGCATGATAACAAAAACTCATAACACCCCTCAAATAGAACCAAACACAGATCGGAAGTGTAATGAAAAGTGACGAAGAGAACAGCTTAAAAAGTCATGTCATGTCAACAATTAAGAAAGCAAGCTAAATCAGCTTACCATTTGAAGATTCCTCTTCAGACCCACACCAGTATGAAACATCTTTGCTAACTGATAAAAAGCCTTCGGTTGACCAGCATTTGAAGCCATTATAAAATATTTGCAAGCCAGCTTCACATCTTTCTTTACCCCCATCCCTTTGAGATACAATACCCCGAGATTATAGAAGCCACCAGAGTCATCATTATAAGCCGCTTTTTCAAATAACTCCTTTGCCTGTCAAGAGAAAGCCTTTGCCTAAGACAACTGAAATTCTTAATATAAAAACAGAACAAATAAATACCAACACTATCTAAGCAAAATCATGAGAATTAGAAAAGAGATGCAGGTACCTGGCAAATTTTTACACTTGCAAATAAATAAATTGTTAAGATCATTAAAACTTGTTCAACAAATTTATATAGCTTTCATAATTTAAATCCCTAATCCAAAATGCAGAAACTAATTGCTGAAACATCTTTCACATGATCCAGACCAAGTAGGATGGGAATTCTCAGAGTCTGTCTCCCTTTCTTTCTTTTTTCTTTCTCTTTTTTTTTTTTTTTTTTTTTTTGGTGTTAATCTGGGCTTCGATATGGTTACTTGAGTAGTTTTCACACAAAATAGTTACCAAGCAGTTTTGGTTTCTACTTTCAAATATAGAGGCCTTGAAAGGACCATAAGGTGTCTAGGCTCTAGAGATTTAGGTTACCTATAATGAATCTAGGCACATAATGGCAGCTTATAGTGGCCTGGAAATGTTCTTATAGTCAAGCACTGCTGGACGGTAGGAATAGCAATGGATCAGATTCGGATTTTGCATCCAATCCGAATCTGACCCACAAGCTGTCAGATTTTTAATCTGCCTCTGACTCTGATATCCGATTCCGAGAATCTGCTCTGATTCGAGTAAAAACCCAGCATCCGACTTCGACCGGACTTTCAATTTTATTTTGACCCAATTATCAATAGCAACAAAATATATAATCAATGCCAAAGACCTATAAATCCATAAATAGAATAATAAAAATATATAAGTACAAGTACATATAAAAGTCGGAGTCGGATCGGATAAGTTGGATTCTAAGTAGAATCCGACTCCAACCCTCCTCCGACTTGGAGTCGGATTTTTTAAAACAGAGTCGGATTCGGATTATTATTTTTCGGATTCGGCTCAGATTTTCTTTCTTCGAACAGATCAGATAAGGGTTAGATCCAGACTATATTGTCATCTTTACTAGACAGTACTTGCGGGAATGCAATTGCTCAATGGCTAGCTGAAAAAACCACAATATAAAAGCTACTTGACAGCATAAAAAGCTAGAGCTATCGTGCACACATGAGCATGCATGTTATGCCCCAGTGGCAGTTCTCTTTTGCACTCACGTCTGTTAACTATACTTTAAGCTACTCAATGTAATCCAAATAAGATACTAAACACCCCCCCCCCCCGGGCTGTGGAAGAGAATTCAACCATGCTGGTATGGATTATATAGAGACCTTCAACTATGGACACATACAGATAACTCTCAGCTAGTAAGATAAAAAAAAGCTAATGTGAGTGAATTTGGGTTTTCTACAACTCAACAGACACAGTACGCACTTTTCCAACCACACTATACTCTGATCTAAAACAATTGAGCCACTAAATGCAATTAATTTAAATGGACTGACAGCTCAGAATAAAAAACCAGTTAGCAGCAAAGTTAAAAACCAAAAGTAGGTTCATGACAACACGCAGCTCATGGCAAGAAGATCTTACCTTTGTATAATTCTTCTTCTCCACCCCATAACCTTTGACATACAAATATCCAATGCCATTATAAGCTGAGTAAAGCTGTTGTTTAGCTGCAAGAGTAAGCCATTCCAGAGCTTTTGTATAATTCCTGTCCACCCCACTTCCCCTTACATATATCTCCCCGAGAAGCTCCATGGACTTGGGTTCTCCTTTCTCGGCTGCTTTCAAGAACCAGGATAATGCCTTGGGAATATCACGACGCAATCCCCTGAGTCCAAAATAATAGAATATGCCAATCTTGTACATTGCCGCAGCATTGCCCTTTTGTGCCTGGTATTCCAATATCTGAAAATCTTCATCATCTTCCCCTCGCGACTTCCTTAAGGCTTCCTTGTTTTCCTCGGCTCCAACATGAATCCTTATTGACTCAACAACAGGCGAATCCTTAGATATCAAAAAACTATTCACCGCCACTTCAGCTAATTCACCATATAGTTTAGCTGCTTTGTCATACATCTGCAGCAACGAGACCACAATTAATCACTAGACAACACGAAAGACATGCAAATTCAACCAAATACAAGCAAACAACTCCATACAAGTTACTCACCACAAATTACAGTAATATCAGAAACATGCAAATTGACTCCACCATATAAACATTTGATAAAGACCCAAATTAAACAGCAAATTCGACATTCTATAGCGGTGCATGTAGTGGCTCTAAACGAAACTATAACCCATGTTTCCCCAATAAATTATGAACATTTTCTTTGTAATAGGAATACCAAAGCATTATAACAAATGCAACCCAGTTTCAAAATCATCATCAAAACAATATACTACCTCCGTTTCTTATTAGTCGCAACAAAGGGTATTATTTGTGAGCCATAAAAAAATTCATTTGTCGCAACTAATAAATTCATTCAATGTCAATAACATGCAAAATCGAAAATCAAAGATTAAGCAAGACAAACCCTTACATCTTGGCGAGCATAGAAATTAGCAAGAGCCATCTTAGACTGCAAATTACCCCCATTAGCAGCAAAATAATGGTACAAAAACGCCTTAGCTTTATTCCTCTCTCTACCAATACCCATATGATACAAAAACCCAAGAACAGACCTAGCATGAGGATCACCACTCTTAGCAGCAGCCTCAATTTCCGATGAAGCTTCCTCCATCAATCTCAATTCACCCGAACTTGCAGCACCCACCATCTTCGAAACCCCTGAGTAATACAATGATACATCTTGATGTCTCCCCGCTTCGTCGTGTTCAAGAATAAACCGCCATGACCCAGAGTCGAGTTCGTCTTCGGATTTTGGTTCAATTCCACCAAACTCGTCCCAGTCGGATGAGTCGGGATCAGAGTCAAGATTGGGGTGTTCTTCGGTTGGATTGTTGACGGATTCTTTGAGATCATCTTGAGTGAGAACGAGGACGTAAGGCCGGCAAAGGTAACTCAGAGGGAGGAGAGAGAAAATCACAATGAAGATCAGGTGCCTGAATAGTTGCCGCATTTTTTGCCGTCGATAGGTGGTTGAATTTGTTTTTCAATTCTTTGATTTTGATTAGTGTTGTTATGTGTGAGTTCATCCTGTTATGTTACCAATACTGCTATATTGTTGAATCTTAAATTTTTTTTTTTTTTTTTTTTTTTTTTTGGTTGTTCGTTGTTTTTCGTACATTGGCGATTTGGCGTGGCGTATCCAATCAATTTTCGCCACCATAGCTAACAAACAAAACTGCGACTTTTCTAGCCAACCTTTATTTCGTAATAATCACAACGCTATCATTTTACGTATGTTTCATCGTAATTGCAACACCTCTATACATAAAAGGGACTCACTATTATTTTATTATTTCTCTTTCTCACTAACCTCACTTTCATAAGTACTTCCTCCGTTTTTAATACTTACAACACACTTTTTCACGATATTTAAGAAAATTAGGTCTCACATGATGTAAAAAAAATAAAAATAAAAATAGGGATGAGAGATTATTAGGATAGTGGGGCCATGAGCTTTAAATAAGACTAAGGTCCTAGTCACTTCACCTAATTTATTTCAGTTTAGTAAAAATAAGTTTAATTTGATTTCAGTTTAGTAATAATCAGTAACTTCAAAGAATAAATATAATTAAAAATCTGTAAAAATAATTTTAGTTTAGTATAATTAATTTCAGGTTAGTAAATATAATTTCAGTTAAGTAAAAATATTTCATTTCATCAAAAATAAGGTGAAGTGAACATGGCCTAATAGTACAACTTCCAACAAGAAAAAAACTTTCCAATTTTAGTGTGTTGCAAATATTATGACATTTCCATTTTAGGAAAGTGTAGCAAGTATTAAAAAAATGAAGGAAAAAATTTATTATTATTTTCTATCCTATCAACCCCACTTACTGTTTAGGGTAAAAAATACCTCATCACATGGTCCAATCCTATAGTGACACGTGTCCTAGTAAAAGGGCGACACGTGTCCCAGTAGGAAGGCAACATGTGGCAAAATTGTTGGGTTTTGCGGTGTCCGACACTGCGCGGAAACAAAACCCGCAAAATGGATCGCATGCATAATAATTACAACATGACACGCAATTAAGGAAAGCATAAACACATAAAGGGAAGAGAGAGAAAGTAAGGATGAGAATCGCTCACCCTTGACGCGTGCTTCGCTCGTATCACGAGCTCGGACTTGGAAAACCTCGAGACTTGCAAATGCAAGACCTCCAACGTCTCTCACCCTTGTTCCCCGAACCGGCCCCTACCCCGTAGCTTAGACGGGGCTAGACAAAATTACTAGACTTTTACGAACTTAATGTTGGGTTTCGAAGTGTTCGACACTACGTGGAAGAGAAACCCTCCCAAGACCCGCACACTAATTAAGGTAACTAAACATGCAATCACATAATTAAACAACAAAAGAGAAGTGGCATTCTTACCCTCGACGTGTGCTTCACTCAAATACGAGCTCTTACTTGAAAGATCTAGCCTCGCAAGTGCGTAGGCCTTTACCCGACCCGAGCGGTCTTTATCCCGAAGGTTAGTTGGGACTTGACCAAAGAACTTAAAGGTTTTCTCACTTTCAAGGAGAAGCCTTATTGAGTTCAACTCAAGTGATTTTTCCCAAACCTAAAACTTGGGTATTTATAGGGAAGGGAGCCTTGATCTCTCTTTTCCCATCAATGTGGGAGAATTGCATTTTTCCTCAATTTATTTTAATCAAAAACAAATTAAAATGCAAAGCAATCAACAAACTCTAAGTGGCATTTGGAGAGCATAGGTAGGTGAGGACCACCAAGGGGGGGGACCAAAACCCCAAGCAAGGCCATAAGACCTGTCCCCACTTTTGACCGGGATGACCACACACACATGGCTGGCTGGCAGCCTGCCTTGGCTACCAAGGCTGCCCAGCTTACGCCTAGCACCAGGGCTGGGTTGCCCAGCCAGCTCGCACACGCATGCGTGCAGCAAGCAGGCCATGCACGCAATGTGAGCTGCTGCTGCGATGCGTGCTGTTGTGTGATGCTGCGATGCTCGTGCTAGCGAGGCCCAGCAAGCACTTGCGTGCTGCTAGCCTTGCGATGTTGAGGCTGGTGCTGCTATGCTAGCAAGCACGCACAACCACAACACATGCACGCATAGCTTGCAATGCTGCGAGTTATGCTGTGCGATGCCCAGCATGCTGCGATGGCTGGTGCGTCTATGCTAGCAAGCACGCATAGCCATGCACGCATAGCCACAACACACACATGCATGGCACGCAACTTGCGATGCTCGTGTTGTGCGATGAGCGAATGTTGGGCAATGCTTGGCACGCTAACACGCATGCGGTTTGGGACCTCGCCTAGCCTAGCACTCGCATGGCTAGGCCAATGAGATACTACGACTTGGCTCGTACTTGTCGCTTGCTTGATTCCACGTCTCGTCGAATTCCGAATTCGACTCAACTTATGACGCTCGGTTTCGACGCTTTAAATTCGATATCCGACGTCTTTGTTCGTAATACTCTAATGACTCATCTAATCCTTCGGATTAATTCGTTGTCTCATATCGGTTATTCGATTAGGGTGCGACCCGAAGGGTTCAGTCAAGATTAAGCCGTAATATTAATTACACATTAATATTACTGATCGAAAGCGGCCTCCACTTAGGCATTCCGATCACTTGACCTCACTGAAGAATTAGCTCTCTAATAATTTCGAACCTTCTAACGGAATAATACACTTGTTGGAAGGACACCATTGCTTTCAATCTCCCACTTTTCCTTTCGGGCAATTCAAGTGTGCAATTAGTGTACAACCCATTTCCTATTTCACTTAATGTCTCTTCATGAACTATAAGGTAAGATTCTTCGTCATCCTTATTGCGTCCAAAAGTGCTTCTCGATTTCCGAGTTCGACTGTCAATACGTAGATGATTTCTGAATCCATCTGAGCATGGCTATGCATTTTCACAATCTTGCTCTTCGAGAGGCCTTGTAAACAACAAAGACATGTTCCCTATTGTTAATAGGGGGACATTCCCAGTCTTGCATTGTTAACTTCCCTTACTAAGAGGACCTAGCCGCCTGAGTGTTGCCGTTATAATCCCCATTTACGGTAGACATTTGACAACATCAAAACGGACTAGTACTCAAACAAGAGAACTTACAATACTCATGGTCGAGGAAAGAGGTTCCGATAGCAATAATGAGAAATATACTTATGACGATTTTTAGACCTCTTAAAGTATTCTCATAGGTTGATCCGGTATAGTTCTAAACCAATACCCGTGCAAATGATTTATGACAATCATGTTCTCATAGTGAAAGGAATGGTGTCCTTCCAACAAGTGTATCATTCCGATAGAGGGTTCAGAATTATTAGAAAGCTAATTCTTCAGTGAGGTCAAGTGATCGGAATGTCTAGGTGGAGGCCGCTTCCGATTAGTAATATTAATGTGTAATTAATATTAGAAATTAATCTTGACTGAACCCTTCGGGTCTCACCCAATCGAGTAACTGATCCGAGACGAAGAATTAATCTGAAGGATTAAATGAGTCGTTAGAGTATTACAAATAAAGACGTCGGATATCGAGCTTAGAGCGTCGAGACCGAGCGTCGCAAGTCGAGTCGAATTTAGAATTCGACGAGACGAATTCGACGAGACGTGGAATCAAGCAAACGACAAGTTTGAGCCTATTCATATCCTCAAATTGGCCTAGCCATGCGAGTGCTAGGCTAGGCGAGGTCACCAACCTATGTGTGCCTAGCATCGCCTAGCACACGCACATCGCATGGCCCAAGCATTGCAAGATGCGTGCCATGCGTGTGTGCGTGCTGTGGCTGTGCAAGCATGGATGGGCGTGCTTACTAGCATAGCAGCACCAGCTATCGCAACATGCTGGGCATGGCTAAGCACAACCCCGCAAGCATCACAAGGCCAGCAGCACGCGAGTGCTTGCTAGGCAGCGCTACCGCAAGCAGGCAGTACATAGCACATGCACCGCAGTACGCTATGCGTGCTTGTGCTATGGGTTATGCGTGCTAGGCAGCGGCACACACCAAGCACCCTAGGCCTCGCCTATCGCACAACATCACACACCAAGCAGCAGCTGCTAGGCATGATAGGTTGTGCGTGTTTGTGCTAGCAAGCCGCACCAAGCAACATCGTGTTGGGCATGCTGGGATGTGCGTGTGTGCTAGCGAGCAGCACCAAGCACCACGCCACTCGCACAACATCACGCAACAAGCAACAGCGCATGCGTGTGCTGGCTGGCTGCAAAGGTGCGTGGGCAAGCTTGCCAGCAGCCCAGCCTTGGCAGCCAAGGCAGGCTGCCAGCTAGCCAAGTGGCGAGGTGGTCCTGTTTTGTGTGGGGAACTAGGGTTGGTACTTGGCTTGGGGAGCAATGTTATTTGGGTCCCCCCCCCCCTTTGGTGGTCCTCACCTACTCTCTCCCTCTATGTGACACTTGGGGCTTGTTGATTGCCTTGCATTTTTATTTTATTTTTGATTAAAATAAAATAGAGGAAAATTCAAATCTCCCACATTGATGGGAGAAGGGAGATACAGATTTTTCATGATATACCACTGAGTTTTTCAAAAATTCACCATATACCACACAAAATTTTTTAATACTCCAAATACCACTGAGTTTTTGGTAAATGTCACAACATACCATTTCCGTTAACGGTGTTAGTCATTAACATTAGTTATGCCACGTGGCAGCTTGTAATTGGTGATTATTAATGTTATTTACTTAATTAACTAACTTTAAAAAAAATTAAAGTGAAATTAATAGAAAAAAAGGGGGAAAAAAACCAAGCCAACACCAGCTCACAACCACTGGTGGTGGCACTCCCCTCCCTGGCCCTCTTTGAACCACCCCCTCCCTAACCGGCTCTCTCCACCCCCTAAACCTCCCCTAAAACCGCTCCACCTCCACAAAACTGGCTCTCTCCACCCCCGAAACCACCTGTAACACTAACCTCCCTCGCCTCCCTCCACCCCCGAAACCATATACCGAAATCGTCCCCCTCGCCTCCCTCCACCCCCGAAACCACCTGTAACACTTTAGAGAGGATTTTAGGGGTTTCGGCAGCCGAAAATAGGAAGGGGAAGGGTTTTGTGGGATGGTGGGTTGGCC